TTTTTTTTTTGGAAGGGGGTGTTGCTTTTCTAGCCCTCAGTGCCATCCCCTCCCCTTCTTGACAGGATGTGAGTTTTTTGGTTTGTTTGCTTTGTTCTTTTTTTTTTGGATTGTTTTGTTCTATTTATTTATTTATTTATTTGTTGATTTTCTCTTTCTCCCTTCCTTCGTACTCTTTCTCCCTCCCAGCTAGCCCAGTATGCCATCTCCTCCCATTCTTTACAAAACCAAATCAAACCTGTTGCCTAGAGTCAATTCTGACTCATAGCAACTCTATAGGACAGAGTGGAATTGCCGCATAGGGTTGCCAAGGAGCAGCTGGTGGATTGTAAAAGCAACCCTTTTGGTTGGCAGCCAAGTTGTGACAGGCTGTGATATTTTTTGAGTTTTTTTCTTTTTGTGGTTTTGTTTGTTTGTTTTGTGAGGTTTTTTTTTTTTTATATTTCTCTTTTTTTGTTGTGTTGTTTCTCTCTCTCCCTTCCCTCCTTCTCTTTCTCCCATCCAGCTAGCCCCAAGTGCCATCCCCTTCCCTTTTTGATCGTCTGTGATTTTTTGTTTGCTATATTCTTTTTCTTTATTTTTTTCTTTTTCTTTTCTTCTTTTTTTTTTCTATTTCTTCTCTCTCTGCTTTACTTCCTCTCCTTTCTCCTGCCCTCCCAGTCTTGCGCACCACTCCCGCCCTTTCTGGAGGGGTTGTGCTGCACAGCTCAGTTGAAGAGTCACTGCACATGGCTTCCCTGTGTCTGCACCACCAACACTGACTGGCTGCCTCAGTGTCATATTCTTTATAGTTTGTTTTTTTTTGTGTGTTTTCTTGTTTGTTTCTTTGTTTCTTTGGTATTGTTTCTCCTCTCCCTCTCTGTTCCTTTCTTTCCTCTCTCCCCTCCATCTAGCCCCATGCATCACCTCCAACTTCTTGGTGGGCTGTGCTGCACAGCTCAGCTGGAGAGCCTCTGGCACACACTACCTGAGTCTGCACTGCCCCCATAGGCTAACACACTCAGGGCCATATTTTATATTTTTCTTTATCTTTCCTCTTCTCCTTTTCCTTCTTCCTCACACCTAGGCCCTTCCCAGCCTCTGCCCCTTCCAGATGGCTGTGCTGTGCCACCTGGCAAGAGAGACCTCAGCTCACAGCCACCCAAATTTGGCCCTGCCTCCAATGGCTGGTGCACCCACCAACATATTTCTTTGTTGTTATTTTTTTTTGTTTGTTTATTTGATTGTTGGCTTCTTCTTTTTCTTTCCCCTCTTTACTTTCCTTTCTCCTGCCCACCTAGCACTGTGGGCAACCCATGGTGCTTCTCAACAGGCTGAGCCACACTGCTCGGCTAGAGGGCCACCAGCGCACCACCCTGCTGGGTCTCCCCCACCCCCACCAGCCAGATCCTACAGCATCACCATTTTATTTACTTTTTTCTTTTTATCATTATTTTTACTTCATTTTTTGCCTCTTTTTTCTTTTTTTACCTTTGTATCTCTCTTCTTTCTCTTCTGTCACTCACTCACCCACTTAGCTTTGCACATCACCTCCACTCCTTCCCTCCTGTTTATCTGCACTGTGCACTAAGTGCCACACCCCCGAGTGCTACCAACACGGTCCCCCAAACCTCACCCTGCACTGCTCCCCAGCCCCGCCCCATCAACCCCAGTTCAAACCACAAACTATCCATCCCTGCTCCTCCACCCATGCTGGACCTGCCCTGCTGCACCATAGGTGAGTGGCCAGCCCTACTCACTTGGAGAAGATGGTGAAAAGTATCATGCCCACAGGCAAGCAAGCAACAAAACACACTCAGCCCATCTGCCCAGACATAACCAAATAAAACAAAAAGGCAGGATGAAACAATCAAATCTACAATCAATAAATGAAGAAAATAATTCCTGAATGTCCCAGAGACAGCAAACAATATCAAAACATATAAAAAGACAAGGAAGTATGGCTCCAGAAAGCAACCAAAATAAAACACCAGATGACCTTCTGCTAGAAGAAAAGACACTGGAACTACCGAATAGGGAATTCAGAAGTCTAATATTCAGGGTTCTCCGACAGATGAAGGAAAATGCAGACAAAGATAAGGAAAAAATAGACAAAATCATGGAAAAGACAGATGACACAATGGAAGAAATCAGGAAAATAATACAGGAATGAAATGCCAAAATAAAGCAACAACTAGAAATCCTACAAAAACAGCAATTAGAAATCCAAAAGATAAACAACAAGACTTCAGATATCGACAGTGCAACAGAAGGTTTTAGGAGCAAATCTGAAACAATGGAAGGAAGACAGGAGCAGTGAAATTGAAGACAAATCCTTGGATACCACTTCAAGGAAAAATCAGAGAAAAGAATGAGGAAAAATGAAGACACCCCCAGAACAATGTGGGATACAATCAAAAGCAAAAATTTGCTTGTGATCAGAGTTCCACAACAGGGGTAGAAAATGGAAAACACAGAGATCATCGAAGATTTGCTGACAGAAAACTTCCCTAATATCATGAAAGACAAAAGGCTGACTATCCAAGAAGCTCAACAAATCCCATATAGGATAGACCCCAAAAGAAAAACACCAAGACATATAATCACACTCACTAAAACCAAAAAGAAAGAAAGAATCCTGAGAGCAGCTCAAGAAAGACGAAAAGTCACATACAAAGGGGAAGCAGTAAAACTAAGCTCTGATTACATAGCAGAAACCATATAGGCAAGAATGCAATGGGATGACGTATATAAAATCTTGAAAGAAAAAACTGCCAACCAAGAAGAATATATACTGCAAAACTCAAATATAAATCGTAAAACACATAACAGTTTAGCACAACTGAAAAGATCCTGTACTACTAGTACTAGCAGGCATATGCTGTTCCTTGGATAATCACAACCCACAGCCCTTAAGGAAATCTTGTAGCCTTCCTGCCCAAGATGACTCATTTTAATCAAGAGACCTTCTGTAGTCTGTAATTTCCCTGAAGTTTACTGTAGGCACAAGCTAGTCTCCAAAATTTGCTTGAGAATAAATCATCAACTCTTAGAGTTCAGACTAGGCTCAAATCCTCTAAAGTACCTAAAGCCAATCCATAATGCGGTCCCCAAATTAAAAGACCTCAAACCTCCTGAGGATAGCTAAAATTTCCCAGTGCATTTTGTACTAAACCCAAGTTTTAAGAACTATTCTCAGAATCTCCAGGTCCAGCGGTGTAAAATAAGGGTTTTTGTTTTTTTCTTTTTTCCTCAGAATTTGGAAGGCATCATCCACACCACCAGTGGAATTTATGATGGGCTTTGGAGGATATCTATGGGCCCACTACAGTTGACACTCCAGTCTATTAAGTCACCTAAGGAATGTCTCAATAGGATTCTAGATCCCATTCTAAGCCATGCAATGCACAAAATACTGTATTAGCTATGATAATACTTCTAACTGCACAAATAACCATAATTTCTCATATATGTTAGCTAAAAGTTTTACTAAGATAATTTAGCCAAAAGATAGCTTTTTATAAATGTGTTCTCAAATGATTTGTTTGCAAGAAGATCCAAATGGAATTGCAGATGCTGATTTTTGTGACTCCCTTATTCTGAATCAGAGATACAAGCACCTCTAGAAATCATCCGATCCAGTCTCTGATTTTGAAGCAATATGTTATCATCATCATCATTTTACTGAGGACTAGAGGGACTTGCCTATTAGCATACAATTAGGAAATAATCAGAGTAGGACAGCTATTTCAACCTCTACTTATATCAGTATCCTACACTTTTGCCCTACTAATACCCTTTGCTCCAAGAAACAAATATAAATGATCGGACATTTATCTGCTTTATAATGTGAACTAATGGTGGAATATTTAAATCTCAGTAGACAAAAAAAAAGGAAGTGTCATTTATAGCATTATAAGACTGTCAACAGCTAAAACTATGAATGGAAACATTTAGCACAAATCCTGTCTTCTTTACAAATTTGTATCTGAAAACTACAACACATGAAAATTGAACTGAAGGAATTATGGCATAAAGTGTAAAAATATAAAAAACAATAAGTAAAATTTTGTTAAGAAAAAAATTGATCAACTAGTCATCTCTGTTGTAAAATATACTTCACAAAAGAACTAGTTCTTCTGAAAATTATCTAAGTAAAATAAAAAAGCTATAAATTGTTTAGGTAGACTATATAGAAACCTGGCCAAAGAATTAAATCCACTGAATTGACTCACTCTGAAAAATAGCTTTCCAATTAAAATTCATCAATATTGGAATAATACTGATGGGAATAATTCCATATTGATGAGTAAAACACAACTTCCTTGCAAACAGTGATGGTCAAAATGCCTGATCAAGTTGCCCCCAGAGCCCATGTCTACCACGTCCCAGTGCAGTGCTTTCTCAAAACACACCTCTGCTCTCAAACTAAGCTGAACTAAAACTTTCGTATAGCACAAGGAAATACATTTTGTAAAATTGCTATTATTGGAATGAGTTTTAACTTTTAAAAGGAGCCATCTTACAGATTATCCTGTTATTGATGAAGTTATTATTAGTGCCTCAAATCTTCTCATGTAGTACTAAGTTCTTCTCACATAGCCATCAATAATTCTCACATTTCATCGCTTTGTTATCAATTGATGGCTAAAAATTTATGGATTTGAAGTGTAAGTCTTAAGTAGCTGTTATCCAAGTTGACTAACCTAGCTTCATAATAACTCGTTTTTACTCAGAACAGTATTCGTAATAACTTGGTTTTATTCACTAGCAGTAAAAATGTTTATATCATCACCATATACTCCCTATTTTTGATAACAATTGAAATTCTAAGTCAAAATGGCCCTCATTGTATGTATTCAAATCTAAAACAAATCATTTTAAGGCAGCTTGCTGAAATAAATCTTGAACATATACATTTTCATAAAACATACACCATTTCTATGCTTTATGTTTTAAAGTAAGAAGTGTTCTTGTTAATAATTATTATAAAAATAGAAATGAAATGGACTATCTTAGAAATAAACAGCTTACCCAAGTGGATCAGCTATAAGAGCTCCATCAGATAATAAAATATATAGGCAAAAAACTCCAACCACTAAAGAATGGCATGTGGATACCACCCTGAAACGAAACAAAATACACAGAAAGATTTTAGAATCTTTTCACTACGGTTTAACTCATTCTGGCAAGACATTTAGCATTCTTAAGAAGTTATATATCTGGAAGCATTTAAATATAGTAGTGGAATACATCTGAGAGTATAATACAAAATTGCCATTTAGAAACCCAAGGGTCTCACACTTTACTTTGGAATTAATGACAAAAAGACTGCCTGTGACTGCAGTCCCCTGCTAGAAAACCAAGGAATCACTTCTTGGTGAAGAGCTCTAAAGCAGAAGCAAACGTGGTAATGTGGTTGATGGAGTTTTGTACAGACAGATGGCAATTGGTAAGCCCACTACCCAGCATTCTACTCCCAACTCCATCTCCAACAGGGTCACTGCAGGCTGAGTTCCCTGCTCTTTAAGAAATCAGTTGGGAATGCTTCCGAATCTACTGGCCTTAAACACTTACCATTAACACGGAGTCTGGGTGGCACAGTGGTTAAGAGATCAGCTGCTAACCAAAAGGTCATCAGTTTAGCAGTTCAATCCACCAGCTGCTCCTTGGAAACTCTATGGGACAGTTCTAACCTGTCTTATAGGGTCTCTTTAAGTTGGAATGTACTCAACCTCAACAGGTTTGTTTTGTTTTGTCTTGGGGTAGTTAAAACAGAATTCAGACGGATCATGAAATGAAGATGTATTACCTGGGAGATTCCAGTTTTAAAGGTACATCCACATGCATTATCTCACTCGATTTTTGTGATAAAGCCGTGAGAAAGCTAGTGTAGCCATTATTAGTCCTTCTTTTAAAGTATTATGAAAGCTCTTATAAATAGAAAAACTGAGGCCCATGTACAGAGAATCCGTTTTTAAAAGAAACACACAAGTGAAAGCAAAATGTTCACAAGATCCAGGTCAAGTTTTCTTTTATAGAAGGAATAAGGTCTAAATGAAAAACATCAGTTTCTATGAACATATCCTGCTAATTAATAATTTAGTGACTCAAATGAAACCCAAACTCTATGATGTGCCACTTAAAGATCTATACGTAGGTTACTGTGTATTTATCCACACAGTGAAGTTTTGTATCCAACAGTTTAGAATTTGTCACATCTATTACTTGATTGAGTTTGCAAGTAATGAAGTTTCTTTTCTCTTCAATAGGATAAAAATTGAAAGGAACAGCAAAGTTTTTTTCTCTAGAAATTACTGGTGTGCAAAAAATATCTCTCTACAATATGATGCCAAATCTTTCAAAATAACTGAAATATATCAACCAAAATAAAGCTTGATGTTAGAAAATCTTATTGTAACATGAAAAACCAATATATTTGATCTACTAGATAATATGTTCCTAAATAGATGAGTGCAATCATATTAAATCAAATGTTATTTTAAAGTCTCAAAGAATTTCACTAACAGAAAGGCACTGATCCTTTGTAATACTAAAGATCATTTTGATGTGTGAATAATTAGCCCAATTTACCTGACTTACAAGTCTCGAATTTTCATGCCAAGCACACCTGTATTCCATTTGGAGAGAAATGTAAACTCCTTGATGATTAAATGAAACACTCCATTTAAGTAATCCTACAGCCAGCTTTCTGTTCCTATTCAAAAATTCTATAAGAGGAAGAAAAAAAAAAGCATAGCCTCTCTTACTAACCAGTTTTAGGGTTCAATAACCTTAAGTCCAAAAGTTTCCTCTCACAAGAAATCTGTTTGCTCCTGATACTCAGGCCTCAAGTTCTCTTATCTGTTGAGAAGTTATATGGTAAATGGGATGGATTACAAGCCCTCAGCTGCTGGAAATAGCATATATTTCATTAAAATAAAAAACCCTTTGCCATTTGAGTCAATTCCAACTCATAGTAACCCTATAGAACAAAGTAGACTGCCCTGCAGGGTTTCCCAGGAATGGCTGGTGGATTTGAACTGCTGACCTTTTGGTTAGTAGGCAAGCTCTTAACAACTGTGCCATACCAGGGCTACTATAATTCATTAGAGGACAGTTAATTGTAACATGGACCAAACAGTTCCCATTATAAAGAACAGGAGAAGCAGACACCCTGTGCTTACATACTATTCTATATTAAACGTCTATACTTTGACACTTCTCTGTTAGTAAAAATTTCTTATCTTAGTCTTTAAAATTAGATTCCTGACAAAGTAAAATGTAAATTCATTAGTGTCTAAAAAGAAATAGCAAAATGGTGCCCAACATAAAATATTTCAATTTTTTCGCAAAGAAGATTAAGAAGAAATGTTTGTGCTTACAAAAAGACACTGGTTTTCTAGGAAATAATTAGTGACCGTTTTTAGAACAGCTATTTAAAGTAACTGATTTAATCATTCACTAATAGTCTGAGTATTACAAATAGAAATGATATAGCTCAAATAAACAGGAGAGTTAAATTTTGGAGCCGTAGATTTAAAAGTGGGAGTATTTCAACACGATGGAACTTTCTAAGCTACATGATAGCAACTGGATAAAAATAACTAAGAAAATTAAAAAAATTTAAAATTATATTTTTATATATAATCTACAAGTATGTAAGTTTTCAGAAAAAGTGACAATTAAACACAACAATTTCTGATTTATAATTAAACTGTTCGCCCTCAAGTGAACATTCTCTGGTGAGGTTTTTCCTCTTATCTTTTTTTCTGTTAGATGGATTGGACAACCCATTGTTCAGAGACTCTTCCCTGATTACTAGGAAGAACTATGTGTGCTGTATTGATCCGCCTGTTTCAAGACTGGAGGCTAGGTTTCAAGACACAAATGCGTACTTTATTCAAATAGTAGCCAATTTTTGCCCTTTTTGCATTCTCTACCTCACAGTTGGAGTGGGAAGCAGGAGTATCTCTAAATGATGAGAAAGATAGAAGCAGAGAGAACACACCATGTGAAGAGCTAAATGAAGTTTACATAATCCCAGGCTCCTTTTTCAAATGGGAACTAAGTTTCCCAAATGGTAATTCCCTGCAGTGTAGAATGGCAGTGATAAGACTAAATAATGTAAAGCATTTTTAAATTTCATTGTTTTGTTTCATTTTTATGTTTCTATCTACTTCTCTATACCTTCCCTATTTCTTTGACTTGCTCCTACCCAAGTGAAAACTAGGCAATGAATCAGGAAGGCCGGAGAAAAATTGATGCCTTTAATTAGGATGTTGGGGAACAATATTGGGTATACCTTGGACTGCCAAAAGAATGAACAAATCTGTCTTGGAAGAAGTACAGCCAGAGTGTTCCTTAGAAGTGAGGATGGCAAGACTTTGTCTCACATACTTTGGACATGTTATCAGGAGGGGCCACTCTCTGGAAAGGGCATCATGCTTGCTAAAGAGGATTAGTGAAAAAGAAGAGGACCTTCAAAGAGATGGATTGACACAATGGCTGCAACAATGGGCTCAAGCATAACAATTGTGAGAATGGTGCAGGACCAGGCAGTGTTGCGTTCTGTTGTACATAGGGTCAGAACCAACTCAGCGGCCACTGGCAACAAGATTCAATACCCTTTAGCCTACCCTAACCGCAGTGAAAAAGAAATGCAGAGCTTAAATTAGTAGCACAAACTGCATGCCCCTCCTTCCCACTCTTCCTTCACTTTTCTGCCGTTCCATCTAACTTTGTATGTAAGAAAGTTTAAAACAAATAATGGTTAGTACCTTTAGTATGGTACATTTGAACAGTCCAATGTGTGCTATTCTTAAGACAAAGAAAATACCTCTCATTTTTCAAACGTGGTACGATGTTTCTTGCTTTTTGGGCAAGAAGAACTGTAGCATGTATGAACCAGACAAATCAGTATAAGATGCACAAGAAAACCACTAAAGTCTTATTCACATTATGAATTAGAAAAGTGAATGCTTGAAAGGTAGAAATAGGCTAAATGTTCATCAACGGATGGATAAACAAAATGTGGTACATACACAGAATATCACTTAACCATAAAGAGAAATAAAGTCCTGATACTTACAATGACATGGATAAGCCCTGAAAACATTGTTCTGAATGAAATAAGTCAGGAACAGAAAAGACAAATATTGTATGATCTCACTTATATGAGATGTCTAGAACAGGCAAGTTTGTAGAGATCAAAGTTATTAGTGGTCACCATAGGCAGGTGCGATAGTGCAGGAAAGGAAGACACAATGCTTAGGGGACACTGAGAGTTTTTTAAGGATGATGGAAAAATTCAGGAATGGTTAATGATGATGTGATGGTTCAACAACATGATGAACCTATTTGATGTCATTGAATTGTACATGTGAAGGCTGATGAAATGGCAAATGTTTCATTGCCTATATATTTGCCACAAAGGAAGAAAAAAGTCGATGCCTACAAAACAAATTGACTCAAACAAAGATAGGGGATTTCAGGTCAAATATGATCTTTCTCAAAAACTTAAGTCATTTGGCAGAAGTTCTTTAATTCTAAAAGGAAAAGTCAATGAAAAACAATTATAGCAATTTTAAAGACATGTTGAATTCGTTTTACAGTTAGCATTAACTTCAAATAAATAACGACAAAAAATCTTCCCATAGCTGCTACCATTCGCTGAGGTTTGCAAATGCACAGGGATGTCTGAGCACATGAAATGCTTTAAAGGAGGTGAGGCAGTCATCAGAGTCCTTTTGTGTTTGAAATCTTGTGAGAGATTAATGAGTAGTGGGGGGAAGCGGGATGTGTAGCCAATTTATCAAAAAACTCCAGCAGATTTCTACATCCTTAGATATCTTGTTCTTTTTCCATTTTTTTTTCATTAAAAAAATCTAAAAAGGAATTTTTAACTTTAGAATTACATAGCGAAAGAATACCTTCTTTGTTCTCTGGTGTGTAAAGTTTAACTAACTGCCCTAAGCCAGTTAATACTATATATAGGCTACTCACAACGCCAAGGAATGTTTTCTTCTGTTGTTCCTACCAAAGAACATGTGTTTATCTAAAATATAAACAGTAGTCTTAGACAGCTGGTGTCTAACTGTAACCTTCCCATGCTCTCCCAGAAAGTTAAATAATTTCATCGTAATACTTTGCAATATTAGAATTTTAAAAAATGTCTTGTATGATATCTATCCATTTCTTTCCATTTACGCCTAAGGTCAAATAGTAACATGTGACTTTAAAATCTGTTACATCCTCAATAAAAAACACTCTCCTGAGATATTTTAGATAGCTACTTTATATCACAAAGCTAGTTGTTTTTTTTCAAATTAATCATTTACATTTTTATATGCTTTACCTTAAGTTCCATCCAATCTTCTCTTCCAACCTAAGACTATTAAAACATGGAAAAACTTTTGCTGAAAACCAAGAACTCACAAAGTGGAAAAGAAGGTGACAGATGACAAAGCTGGCAAAAACAGAGCCTCGTTTTTTAGTGATGGTATCCATATTTCTTCAATCTGTTAAAAGAAATGATAGATATAAATGTTATCTCATGATAAATCTACATTAAAATTTGCTTACATTTTAGAGAGTATGTAGTTTTTTAAGTAAGAAACTATAAGAAATTGAAGCCTTTTGTGTTACTTCACCTTTATCAGCTATTTGTCACGTGTCTTATATTTCTACTTAAAATAAAAGGGGGAAAATCTATTATCGTAAAGATTTCAGTGTTGTATATTTTAGAAGACAGCTTTAACAACATGAGATTCATAATCATCCAAGACTTAAGGTTTAACATTAAGATGAAATCTGAAGTACTGTAACTGAAGACATTCTTTTAGTAATATTATTTTTTATTATACTTAGGAAAAATCAACTGATTTCTCTATACCTCAGTTTCCTCATTTATAAAATGAGAGAGTTGGTTAGGTAATTTCTAAGGTACAATTAAGCTAAAAGTCATAAGAGAAATAACATTACTTGTAAAATCAAAACAAACAGTAGTTACCAAATAAAAACTAATTGTACAGTCAGACAAACAATACTTAGAACAAAACTAAAATTGTAAGAAGAATAGCACAGTCTTAGAAAAGAACCATAACACTGTTACTACTTAAATTATATTTAACTTTTAAAAAATATTCTGCAGTCTCACATATGCTCAGAGCAAAAATCCTCCATAGTATTTATTTGGTTCCTGAAAACCTTAGTAACATTCAGACCAAAAAAAGACACTAATGCATTTGCTCATATCCAGCAAACAGAGCATTTCTATGGCTCCATCTTTGATGAAGTTGACCCTCAAATGAAAAGGCAATGAATCAATACATATTTCCAGCTGCCTAAAGTGAAGAAATAAAGTCACCTACTGTAGCCAATTCACTAGGGAAAAACCAAGTCATTGACTGCACCTGCAATAACCCCACTTCATTCTTTCCATCCAGGATATCATAATAAGAATCAGTTGCCCACAGGGTGCCTTCACACAGCTCTCATGTGTCTATAAAGAATTCTTTCCTCATTCTATTTTTGTGCTCTTTAAAAATATAGATATACACTTCTTCTCACTGGGTTCCATTAACTATATTGCTCATTTACTTTTTTTTAAATTCAACACATGTTGATTGGGTATTAAATATTTCATTTGAGGTTTTTTTAGCCTAATTTTAATATTAACCAAATAATATGTAAAAGTTTTGTACATAAATTAATTATCATTAAAATCTACTAAGTGAGGTATAAAGGGGAAATGTTCTTCTAAGATTAAAGTAAATAGGGGTTTGGAAGCTTGGGGGCAGATAAATGAAGAAAATGAAACCAGTCATCAGAACAAGAGTAGAGAGTCTATTCTTAACTGGAGGGATGGTTTGCTCTGGAGGGTTTTATCTGCTCCCTGCTGGTCCTACAGTAGGACTGGTCACAAGCTGCTCATTGATTTTCATTAAAATCCAATGTATACCACGAACATTTATTTCATAAATGTTTGTTAAAAGTTATGTTGTAAAGCATATTTATAAATAGGTATCATGTAACATTCATTTTATGAACTAATTTAACTAATCCTGTAAAAGGCACTCAAACAATTCACCATTAAGATATTTCTCATTCTGAGGCAGAGCCAACACGGCGCTATAGACAGAAGCACCACACATTCCCTCCACAGCAAAGACCCAAAAAGCTAAGTAAAACAGAGACAAACGTCAATCCTTGAACTCTAAGCGTCAAAAGAAGTGATAAAGAACTCAACCAAGCACTGAATGGAATAAGAAACTGACAGAGAACAGAGAGAGGAGAGTTACGAGTGGAGGTCCCCTATCAGCTAATGAAACACGGATCCACCACCTTGGACTCCTGTCAGAGATAGGTGGACAGGGAGTATGGGAAAGCAGATTCACAGAGCTCACAGCAGGAGACAGAGCACCTGCTAACAAGTGAGACACACTTTCCTACCCCCTAGCCTGCCTCCCCCTGCTCTACCTTTGCCGCTTCCTGGAAGGCTGATCTGAGGCTTCCCAGCAGGCCAATCCCAGCTTCCCGGCTGGCCAATTCACTGCTTCCCAGTGGGTCAATTTCCAGCTTCCCAGAAGGCTGATTTGCTGCTTTGTGGTGGGCCGATCCACGGATTCTCAGCAGGATGATTAACTGCTTACCAGCAGGCCAATACATGACTTTCCAGTAGGCAGAGACAACAGCACGGGAGGCACTGGTTCTGTGCTGCATGGATTCAACCCACCCACACAGGCTGGCTTCTTCACTGCCATTTCTTTGTTGCTGGCGTTGCTTTTTTCAGCCTCTTTTGGTTTCTTCTCTTTCACATCCTCCCCTGTCTTTCTCTTTGTCATAGTTTGAGTTATGTCCCCTAAAAAATGTGTATATCAGTTTGGCTGGGCCATGATTCCTGGTACTGTGTGATTTCCCTATGTGTTGTAAATCCTGCCCCTATGATGTTAATGAGGGAGGATGGGTGGCAGTTGTGTTAGTAAGGCAGGACCTGACCTACAAGACTGGATTGTGTCCTGAGGCAATCTCTTGAGATATAAAAGACAGAAGTGAGCAGTGAAACAGGGGGGCCTCATACCATCAAGAAAGCAGTGCCGGGAGCAGAGCGCATCCTTTGGACCGGGGTCCCTGTGCCGAGAAGCTCCTAGTCTGGGGGAACGCTGATGAAAAGGCCAAGAGAGAGAAAGCCTTCCCCTGGAGCTGAAACCTTGAATTTGGACTTTTAGCCTACTTTGACTATGAGGAAATAAGCTTCTCTTCATTAAAACCATCCACTTGTGGTATTTCTGTTATGCAGCACTAGATGACTAACACACTCTTGAACACTTGACTCTGTATGCCATCTTTGCTACTTCTGAAAGGCTGTATTGCACCGCTCAGCTGGGGAACTGCTTCCCTGGTTGGCATTGCCATGTTGCTGTGATACCTGGGGGCTTTTTTTTTCTTTGTTTTCTTATTCTTTTTTTCCTTTTTAGTTTTCCTCATTTCTCAGTTTCTCGTCTCTTTTTACTTACCTTCTTTTCCTGTCTCCTGACTACCTGGTACTGTATATTATCACGACCCTTCTAGTCTGGCTGTACTGAATGGCTTGGGAGCCATTTTCCCAGTTTGCGCAGCCACACTGGTGGGATCCCTGGGAGCATTTTTTTAATTTAATTTTTATTGATTTTATTTTTTTCATTATATTTTTCTTCCTTTCTCAGTTTCTTGTCTCTCCACACCAACAGCAGGCTCCCTCAGCACTTTTTTTTTTTGCTCCTGTTTCTCCCTCCTCTCTCTTCTTTTCCATAAAAAACGTAGCTCCATACATCACAACCTCCCCCTCGCCCTCCCTCCTGCCTATCTGCACCATGTGCTAAACATTGCATTCTGAGTGGCCTACCAGAACCTGTTGTGCACTGACCCCTGGCTCACTTTATCAGCCCAATACATACCACAGAAAACCTACCCCTGCCTCTCCCCTTCGGGTGGACTTGCCCTGCTGCACCACAGCTGAGCGACTGGCCCTGCCCATTATACAAGAAGGTGAAAAATATCGTGTCAATAGATGAGCAAACAACAAAGAATGCACAGCCCACCTGCTCAGACGTAACCAAATAAAAAAGCAGGATAAAACAAACATATCTACAATCAATAAACAAAGAAAATAACAACCAAATGTCCCAAAGACAGAAGACAATATCAAAACGTATACAAAAACAGGAAAGGATGGTTCCACTAGGCATCAAAAATAAAACACCAGATGACTCTCCAGTAGAATAAAAGGCACTAGAACTACCTGATAGGGAATTCAAATCTCTAATATTCAGAGCTATCCAAGAGTTGAAGCAACAAGCAGACAAAAATGAGGAGAATATAGGTAAATTCATAGAAAAGACAGACAAATCATGGAAAATACAGACCAAAAAATGGAAGAATACAAAAAAATAATACAGGAATGAAATGACAAAATAAATTCACTAGTAGAACTCATACAAAATAACAATTAGATATCCAAAACATAAACTACAGGATTTCAGAAATGGACAGTGTCATAGAAGAGCTGAGGAACAAGTTTGAAACAATGGAAGACAGGATCAGTGAAATTGAAGACAAATACTTGGATACAACTTTGAGAAAAACAAGGAAAAAAGATGAAGAAACCATGAGAATTATGTGCGATACAATCAAAAGTAAAATTTTTCAAGTGATTGGAGTTCCAGAACAGGGATAGAAAAAGGAAAAGACAGAGAGGATCATTGACGAATGGCTGACAGAAAACTTCCCTAATATCGTGAAAGATGAAAAGCTGACTATCCAAGAAACTCAACAAACCCCATATAGAATAGACCCCAAAGGAAAATCACCAAGGCATATCATAATCACACTTGCTAAAACCAAAGACAAACAAAGAATCCTGAGAGCAGCTCCAGAAAAACAAAAAAAAAAATCACATACAGAGAGGAAACAATTAGACTAAGCTCTGATTACATGGCACAAACCATGCAGGCAAGAAGGCAATAGGATGACATATATAAAACTTTGAAAGAAAAAAAATTGCCAACCAAGAACAATATATCCTGCAAAATCTCATTCGAATATAATAGTCAAATTATGACATTTCCAGATAAACAGAAATTAAGGGAATATGTAAAAACCAAACAAAACTTTCAAGAATTATTAAAGGGAGTCCTTCAGTTTGAGAAAAAACAACATCAGATGACAGCCTGAATCTAGGACACAAGATTACACCAGCCAGATACCAACCTAGGAAATGAACTCTTAAGGACTATTCAAAACCAAAAAGATTTACAACAGGGAACCAGAAAGGCTAATCTGCAAATGACAACAATGTCAGAACAATAAAAGAGGGACTAAACGGTGTAGGTATAGAACTTTCTAATGGACAGGAAGTCAAGGTGATACCAAGCAGTAATAGACTGGTTAAAACCTAAGAAGATAAGGGTAAATTTCAAGGTAACCACAAAGAAAGTTAACAAATCTACTCATCAAAATAAAGAAGAAAAACATAAAGTCT